AGTCTCTTCTGATGATTGTTGAAAACTGATGACACAGTCTTGTCATTTTAAGGTGGGAAACCCATGAAAAATGTAGGGTAACTCTTAAAATAGGCTTATCAATTAGAATAGGGTTATTGCTGCTATGGTAGTAGATTCTTGCACTGAGCAGGGAACTGGACTCGATGTTTCAGGGCCTCTTCCCACGTTTGTATTCTACGGTTCCAAAAGCGGCGTAAACACCCCAACTCCACCCAACCAAGTTCTGCCTATGTATGGTGTAACCCTTAGGCCCTGTCCAATAACAAGTGTGGGCCTTGCTCATCCTTCCTTAAAAAAAAACTCACCCTAAAATTTGGGCAATTGTCTCAGGGATCAGGAAGACAGAAATTCTGATTATGCACGTTCCAGACTTTGCCTTGCTACCGTCTGCTAAACCAGTGGGTCTGAACTGGCAGTAGGGTAAAGGGAAGGATAGCGATCCATCAACCAGGCAATCAATAATAAAATATAAAATTCTGAAGCTGTTTAGCCGGATGCAAGGTAGGTCTTTGGAACTTTATTTTTTTTAACTTTCTGTAAATAAATACAATAACAGAATGCCTGTTAGCATGTAAATGACATTCTTGTAATAAGTGTGGGTTTTTTGTTTCTACTGTAGTGCAACCCAGATTCTCTGATTGCAGGATTGGCGGATATAAAAGATGGAGTACTGTGACTTTAAACCAGAGGCAGAGAATTGGATGCCCGACATCACCTGTGTCCCCCACATTCACCCTCCAAGACTCTGCTATTGTAACGGAAGGGAGGAGGAAAAAATAATTATTCTCCAGTCATGTATTGAATAATCCTAACTGCAATTCATTAATCTATAGCCAATTTTAATTGCATTGAAAAGTATATAAAATAGAGTAAATTTTTGTTTTATTCCTGCCACTACTTTGGGCAGGGAGGCTTTGGAAAACAAACCTAGACCTGGTCTCCTGAAATTTGTCTCATGATCTGGGCTACCTCATGCTTCTTTAACCCAAGTTACAACCTACATCATAATTGACATCCTCCCCTTTTGGACTCGGCAGTCTAAGGCAGAATTCTTAAAAGAACAAGAATCTGTGTGTCGTTTTTTTCTTTCTTTCCATGAGGAATCAGAGACTCTAATCCCCGAGACCCCGGATGCCGGCAGTGGGACTGGCGTGCCTCGAAGAGAGGGATGGACCCTCAAAGGCAGCCAGGAAGCTCATTTCTTTCTGCAACTGTGCTCAGTCAACGGCCTTAGCATCAAGAGGTCAGCATCTTTCCAGATCTGTAAAATGGGGATAATAAGGAGGGAAGGGATGATTCTGGACCATGAATGAGATTACAAAGATATGCTCACTTCAGGTTAGAGTAGGGAATAAACCTAAATCAAGTACTGTACTTGCTATCAAGAACAACTTCCCTAAAGAAAGATAAGCAGTCTGTTTATGATGCACTGTTTTAGAGGAGAGGAGCAAAAGTGGAAGGGGCTTGGAGGCCAAGTCCTAGGAAGGACAGCTGAAAGAACTGGGTGGGCTTGGCCCAAGAAGAGAAG